CAGGTGCTTCAAATTTCTTCGTTTCAAACTTCGCAGTTGTTTGGACGGAGGCACTGATTTGATGTAGATGTTTGATTTCATTGTTGTGGCTTCCTCGTGACACCTTCGAGGTCAGATTTATCATGTCACGAATACTTTCAGATTCTAAAACCGACGAATCTCCTGAAGTTGCATTCGAGTGAGATCAATATCAAGAAGGCATCCGTAGCACTTTCGGATGGATCTGGTGAGCTTCGCGTATTCTTTCTGAGTGATCGTATATTAGAGTGACTGTGTATTGATCTGATGTTGATCATCTCTACGAAACTGTTTGAACTTTGTGATATCGTCTTGAAAATTTTACGAGACATCGAAATTACCAGCCTTCATTATGGAAGATGTAATTATTTGAAGTGCTGTACTGGTTTTAGCTTATAATGATTCAACTCTAATGAGTTTGGGAGAATAAAGAATCAGTGGATGTTATGACGAAAAATGTGAGAAACTTGAACATAAGTTTTCAGCACTGGAAAACCTGCCCGTTCATTACGATAAGAAATGGACGACCGTTACGTTGGAACTGCCCAAAGAAGTTAGTCCTCAGTCGGCGAAGCTCTCACTCGAATTCGATGGAACGTTAAACGATAAAATGCGAGGATTCTATCGATCGAGTTATAAGGACGCAAAAGGCAACGAGAAATTCATTGCGTCGACTCAATTCGAGGTGAGAATTTGATTTGGGATTTCGAATTGATTTGAAGCAAATGGATGAGAAGATGATTATTCTGTTGTTTAGAGTACCTATGCTCGATTATCATTCCCGTGTTGGGATGAACCAATCTACAAGGCAACATTCGATATCAGCTTAGTGGTTGACAAGAACCTGACGGCACTTTCGAATATGGTTCGTTTTTGGAATGCTTCGGCAGCACTTCATAAATCATTAATTTATGAATCTTTGCTTGTGATTTCATTTTCGTGTTTGCCCTGAAAGCACGTTGGATATGAATTGTCTCTGTTTTTAGAATGCCGTAAAAGAAACAGATGAAGGCACCAAGAGGGTTGTGAAGTATGCCACAACGCCACTGATGTCCACATATTTAGTTGCGTTTGCCGTTGGAGACTTGGAGTATATTGAGGTTAATTTTGGTTTGGATAGATTGAATTGATATGTTATATGTTAATTTATAAGTGATCACGCGGTTGAGATCTGTGAGGGTTTCGGTAAATTTCTCATTTGCAGATGAATGAATTTGTTTGCTTTAATTTAGAGAAAAACTTCAAATGGATGTCCGATGCGATTGTATACAGTGCCTGGGAAGAAGGAACAGGGCAAGTTTGCCTTGGAACTGGCAACGAAAGCAATTGATTGGTACAATGATTGGTTTGGAATTGTGA